ACTAAACACACAGGCTGGAACTCTTCAGCATTTAACAAGCAGTTCTGCATAACAGAGGCAAAAAATGCCTGGATAGCTGAAAAACCTGAACACAAACTCACCCACAACAGGACAGAAGCCAAATACTCCCAAGGTAACAGTCCCAGAGCAACCAGATACACAACATGAATAAAACAGGAGCCTACGGAATCACAAGCCCCTGGATCCATAAAGTTAGAATGTTTAGTACAGGGAAATTGTAGAATCATAGAATAGTTAGGGTTGGAAAGGACCTTAAGATTATCCAGTTCCAACCCCCTGGCCATGGGCAGGGACACCTCACACTAAACCATCTCACTCAAGGCTCTGTCCAACCTGGCCTTGAACGCTGCCAGGGATGGAGCATTCACAGTTTCCCTGGGCAACCCATTCCAGTGCCTCACCACCCTCACAGTAAAGAACTTCTTCCTTATACCCAATCTAAACTTCCCCTGCTTAAGTTTGAACCCGTTACCCCTTGTCCTATCACTACAGTCCCTAGTGAAGAGTCCCTCTCCAGCATCCTTGTAGGCCCCCTTCAGATACTGGAAGGCTGCTCTGAGGTCTCCATGCAGCTTCTGTTCTCCAGGCTGAACAGCCCCAACTTTCTCAGCCTGTCTTCATACGGGAGGTGCTCCAGTCCCCTGATCATCCTCGTGGCCTCCTCTGGACTTGTTCCAACAGTTCCATGTCCTTTTTATGTTAAGGACACCAGAACTGTACACAATACTCCAAGTGAGGTCTCACGAGAGCAGAGTAAAGGGGCAGGATCACCTCCTTTGACCTGCTGGTCACGCTCCTTTTGATGCAGCCCAGGATACGGTTGGCTTTCTGGGCTGTGAGCACACACTGAAGCTGGCTCATGTTCATTTTCTCATTGACCAACACCCCCAAGTCCTTCTCCACAGGGCTGCTCTGAATCTCTTCTCTGCCCAGCCTGTGGCTGTGCCTGGGACTGCTCTGACCCAGGTGTAGGACCTTGCACTTGACATGGTTAAAATTCATGAGGTTGGCATCAGCCCACCTTACAAGCGTGTCAAGGTCCCTTTGGATGGCACTTCTTCCCTCCAGTGTACCAACCGAACCGAAATGAAAATCTACAGGGAAGATACAGAAAACAGAGATTCAAGAAGCATCACAGTGTCCAGTCTTCACACAGTAGAGACAAAATACCCCATAAAAGAGTAATGCCCAACACAACAGCCATGGCAATGACCCATGGGCTTTACAGATGTAAAAGCAAGAGCCTTTACATCAAACACATAAGATTAACAGAAGACAATTGCTGTTAGTGCTCTCTGCCATGATTCCTGTGAAACGGAATACAGCGTGCCAATCCCTGGAGTGGGTTTGCTGCATGCCAGAGCTCCAGCTCCGGATGTTGTAACAGGTAAAGCCAGACATCTTAAAAGACGGTCAGTTTAAGTGTGCCTCCATGTATCACCTTATTATGTAAACCCTTTCAAGATAACATCACAAACAGCTATGGTGGAAATAACAAGAGGACTAGAGAAATAAACGCCCACTTTTATTATATATTTAACATCACTTTACTTCCCAATTCACCCTTTCCAAGAGGGAGTCAGTAAAATGTCTGTGCTTTAATGAATCTTTTGAGCAGAAAGAGAAATAGAAGCCTTATTAAAAAGAGAAACAGCCACAAGTCAAAAGCAGTAGAATTCAATGAAGGTGTAGGACATGCAGTTACTTTTTAAACCTACTTTTAAAACCTTGACTGGTTTCCAAGATAACATCTCTTTATCAGCTTTTGTTAAGTGTTATGAAGCATATATTCCATTGTGTTCAATGGTAAGTTGCATTCTAGGGCAAATGGAGTTGGCCTTGGGCAAGACAATTTCTACTTCACTTCCCACATTTACAAAACAAGGATAATATTTGCCTGTTTCACAAGAGTGCTGGAAGATTGGAGAGGACTATCAGACTACAGATCATTCTCATAGAATTAATGCTTTAATTATTTTTTAATGTTAATTTCACCAGTCTGGAGAACGACAGGTTTTTTGGAGTAAAAAATACAAATCACTTCCATTTCTTTCTCTTCTTAACATCCAGCAAGCACTGCTTTTGGTTTGAACTACAAACAACTGGATAACTGGATTTACATCCAACCACCTTTTCTTTGGCACTTCAATGAACACAATGTAGAAAAAAAGCTCCAAGTTTTCCGAAATCCCATTTTGTGGCCCACATGAACAGAACATCCCTCTTCAAGGTTCACAAGGCACTCTGGAAATGCAACCACTTTATGTAACTAAGTACCTAGTAATTTGGTTGCTGCATACACCCACACTCCCAAGATGCAAGAAGGGATTTTCTATTGCACAAAACAGCAGTAAAGCACACAACAAAGCTTTTGGAAAAAAGAGTATGAAAGGAAACTTCTTATTCACAATAAATAAATGAATTTATAATATTAACTTTATATTGGAAGATTTCTGCTTTATGTTTTTTTACAAACATTACCATGTTTTAGTAGGTACAGAATTGTTTAAAAGAAGTTAAATAAATAAAACCAAACCCCACCATCATCACCATTTGTCAGCATCCTGCAGCATCTTACTCTTCATTTTAGAAGAGAGAGGATGTTACTCAGTGCCGCCACCACTGCGACAAAGACTTTCAAGGTAATGCAGAGTGATCATGAGATCTGTGAGTATCATCCAACCTGATCAGTAGTAAACCCAGGCACCCTCAGCACACCCAGCAAGTAGAATATTACCAGCTCCAAGTTGATAACAGGAGAAGGGGCGTTTTGCACCTGACTGAGAGCTGTGGAACCAACAGCAATGCCAAGCGGAGATTGCAATTCCCACTGCAAAGTGTACTCCTGGAGAGGTATCACATTCAGGTTTGTGACCCTACAGTGTCTGGGGAGTGAAGCTCTGATATGAGCCATGTATTCTTCTGGCAGAGCTCCAGGGCAAGCACATCACCCAGACAGGTTCCGTGACATTCTGTATTCACACTAACACAGACCATCACAACATCAGGCCCTCCTTCATCACCACGCACCAGCACTGTGTGCCATTAGCTTCACATTCTCCCTCTACACCCAGTTCTACCTGCAACACACTTTCAATAGCTCAGAATACTCAGAGACCTCTTTCTTGACACAGTCTTCTCTAGTTTTAACTGCTCCCATCTACCAAAAGGGGGTCAAAGGTCAACCCTGCAGACCTGATTGCTTTACCACTCCTGCCCTGAAGCACAGAGGTAAATGACCGAGTGCTTCTTCCCATTTACCTGTTTGGCACCATGAGTTCTATGGCTGCAGATGCTTTGTGACAGACAGTTCAGCTGCACACTGTCCCTCAAGTGTACTTGTAAGGGACAACAATGAAAAGCTTCTAGCTAAGGGGAGGCACACAAACTCATCACAGACTTTGGCATCTTCTCTGCCACCTCCTCATGTTTTTCCTTGCTTCAAACAGGAAAAAAATTGCTCAGGAATTCTTATCGCAAAGCTTATCTTGGCATGAAGGAAAGAGGATGCGCACTTCTGGAAACAGCTGGCACATACACGTGCATTCATTTGACAAGAGGACACAGGAAAGTACACTGATGGGAGAACGACTTGAAAGAGAGACAAACTGCCATAAAAAGCGTCCCAGAGACATCAAGGCACAACCACCTACAAGCAAAGCTGCACTTTACAATCAGACATCCCCCACATGGCTGTTAACAGCCCAGACACATTAACTAGGAGCACCTGGGTAACAGCCAAAATAAAACACATCCACATCTGCACCTACACTAAGATCCATGCTTTAGATCCTTCTCCCTCCTGGACTGCAGCAAAGTATCTGTGTGGAGCTTGGGAACTAAAGAGTACTTCTGTTTTCTATAAAGCAGATTTTCTGATCCACAGGACTGCAGCCCTTTCCAAGCTGCTTTAGCACCTTCTTCGAAGCTGACTGCAATTAGGTTTCTTGTTAGAAGAGAAATAAAATTACTTGAAACCCAAACTCCATGTGATTGTGCCCCAGAGGCAATACTTGGAGAACGATGGAGGTCAGCAGCACTACTGCAAATGCTTCCTGTAATTTCAGAGCAGCACAGGAGAAAACGGATGGGTGAAATTATACAGCAGCTGCCGAAGGAGCGCAGGGAGAGAAACGAGGTACGGATCTCCTCTCCGCACCCCTCCCCCAAAAGCCTTCCAACTCTTTATAAACAGTTCCACGAAGCGTTTAATGTTTTCTCCTCCACCGGGCGCACTTGTAAAAGAAAGCACTACCGCACACAACGAAGAAACAGCAATTGCTCTTCAGTTGATAGAGCAACCACAAAAATAAGTTTTTCACCGGCGAGACTTCACGGAACTGCTTCCCTGCTCGCCCTCACCGCAGGCAGCTCCTGCCCTCGCCACTCTTTTCGGTGCCGCTCCTACCCCGGCCGCACTCCGCCAAGGCTTAGCGGCAGAGGAGGGCTCCCGGGCCCCGCCGACCCGAGGCAGGTAGCCCTGGGCGCCGCCGGGGAGCCGGGCTGTACCTTTAAGGGGCCCGTCGCGGCGGGTGCGCGGCTGCATTCCTGCTCCGGAGCGGCGGCTGTCCCGACACGCCGGGCACGGCAGCCTCCGAGGCAACCTGCGCGCCCGCCCCAGCGCAGCCCGGCCCGGAGCTCGCACCAAGGGAACAAAGCCCGCTCCCGCCGCCGAACTTCCGCGGGGGGCAGTGGCCGCGTGGGCTCCGCGCTGCAGCCGGGACCCGCGCCCCAGCCTGCCGGGAGACCCGGCTCCAACCCGCCGCGGCGGGGCTCGGGGAAGGCGAGAACCGGACTCGGGACGGGGCGCGGACAAAGCCCGGCGACGGGGCAGGGCTCGGCACTGCTCGGCTCGGCTCGGCTCCCGCCCGACGGGCGCAGGCAGGTGAGCGGCGCGGTGGGACAGGGCTCCCCACCGCCGAGCCGGGGACGGCGGCCGGGCCCCCCGCGGCGCAGAGGGTGCCGCGGCAACCGCTTACCTCTGGCGCGGAGCAGCGCTCCCAGCAGCAGCAGCAGCAGCAGGAGCTGCGGAGGCGCGGGTAGGAGGCATCTCCCGCCGCGCCGCCTCATGGTGGCAGCGCCCCGGTCCCGCGCCCGGGCCGCCCGCAGACGAGGTCCCAGGCTCCTTCTGCGCTCAACGTCCCGGCCCCACCGCCGCTCGCTCCCTCCGCAGCCGCGGCAGCTCCGGGGCTGGGGGCTCGCTCCCCGCTCCGCCCGGCCCAGGCCCGGCCCCGGAGGAGGAGCCCCGCCGGGGCAGCCCCCGCCCCGCTCCGCTCCCCCCCAGCGCCCAGGCACTTGGAAAACTTTCGGCGCGGCAGAGGCGGCCCCGGCTCCGCACTGAGACACGCACCAGCAGCATCACCACCACCCGGGCTCAGCCCCGCGCCCTCCCTACCAGCGGGGAAGCCCTTCCTAAAGCGGCATCGGGGCTCTCGCTGTCCCGGCTCCCGCGGCGCCGCCGCCGCCGCCAAGGAGCATCGCTCCCGGCTGCCCGCTGCAGCGGTAACCGGGACCGTCCGGTGGCTGCGCGCTTCCCGGCATGTGCCAGCTGTCTGTACCGAAGACAAATGGCAGAGCTCCTCTCCCTGTCCCATCCCCGTTTGCCAAGCACCCTTCAGAAACTGACAGCCTCTAAGAACCACGTTCACTAGCCCTTTGCCCGGCATATGTGTTGCTATCCACGAGAAAAGTCTCATTTCCACCTCCGTTCAGGCCAAGCGTTCTGCTGTTTGGTGTGTTACTGTCACAGTGTCCGGAGACAGCTGCTGATGTGTGAATCTCAGGCACCCTAAAAAAGAGTTGGTCGTTGGTTGTGGGAGTAGAAATTAGCACTTGGACAATTGCCTCCTGTGCCTTCTGGAATCTGTGGTGCCTTTAAAAGCAGACAGGCTTTCACTGGACATCAAGCCAGTTTTATGATCCTCTGTGGCACGATTTGACATTTTAATACAGAGTTGGCAATGCAAGAAACTGCTGTTAAGTAATTAATCTCAGTTGATTTCAAAGTATTAACTTGAATGGAAAGCTGACTCAGACAGTGCAAACCCTGGACCACAGGGAGAGATGGGAATTTTGTCAAATTGACACCAAAGGGCCAGTGACAGGAATGGTCTTATTTAAAGCCTTCCCACAGATGAATCCAGAGGAAGCTGCAATTAATCCCCTCCTTTAAAGAATCACAAGAGCAAGCAAACAGCACAGCATGTGATTGAGACAATTCTGCCATTCCTATTAATAAAGTGTAAACCAGTGAAGACAAGGGATAGTATTAAAAACGTCAACATGAAATTAAACCAGGGACTAAGTCTTGACAAACTGAGCTCAATGTAAAGAAAAATAATCCAACACAGAGCTTCCCTGAGGAGGAGAACTCCCAAGAGCAGGAACACCACAGCAAACAGTAGTAAGCAGCAAACCATGTGTCAATTTACAATACATGGCCCCTAAGATATAAAAAATGCAGACTTTTTGCTTTATGCTCGGTGTGACAGCTTCAAGATAGAAACAGATCCACTTTCATAGCGTGAGTACAATAGCAGGTAGACTATGGCATTGAGTTCTGTGCATTTGATAGGCAAGGGGTACAAAGCTGCAAAAGAATAACAACAAATACAGGTAGCCAAGAGGGGATTGACTGAGGTGCAGAGATTAAAAAAACCTCTCTACACTGACATTGACTGGGAAGCAGGGACAGAATGAGGCATGGGAATGACACGCAACTGTCATAAAGGAATAAACTCTAAGACACCAGAGTTTACAATAACTAAAGTGTAAGAGCTGGGAACAGCGGGCTGAAGAGAGAGAAAACATGAACATCATTCTGGCTGGGGGCTGCCGACTGGCTCATGTGCCAAACCCCTACTGCATTCCCCTAAAACACAGGGCAACATAACCAAACCCCATTTAAGTTTATACTCTCTACTGAGGCTAGATCCTCAGGTAGTATAAACGAGAGCAGCCCTGGCTGACTTCAGGCTCACAGAAGCTTGTCAGAAGATTAGATGCCGAAGTACTGAATGTGATAAAGCACAGACACAGGGCCCAGAACTTCCTGATAATTATATACTTAGGTCATGGAACAGTCTCCCAAGCAGTTGAGAGGAGTATTTTCCTGTGCTTGAAACAAAAGCCTCTTGAAAGATATTGTCCTAAACACAAATAAATTCACTTGTTAGCTCTTCAGTGCTTCTCTCCCCAGGGAACAAATGTTTTTACCCACTTGTGCTTAAGTGTGTTTACCAGTCCTCTGCATATTGCACTGAATTCTGCTAAATCACTTTCCTGTCCAGGCTCAACTTCCCTAAATTGTATCTGTCTTATAAATCATTTTGAAATCCCCTAGTGAAATGTTAGAGAAGCACGAAGGATTGGCTTTCACAACAAGCTCCTCAACAGGCTGCAGCTGAGCAGACAGAAATCTGTATTATAAACCCCTCAATTTCCTACCTGTTGATGCAAGACTATGATTGAATAGATCCCTGAGTCCATGTGGGGTCTTTGAGAGATAACTTGAAAGTAGATTTACGCAGTGTAAAATGGATATTTTTGGTGAAAGAAAAGTAGAAGGGTTGCTAAATAGTGCCAGTAAAACTTAACCATATGCTTAGGACTTGCCTCTTTCACTATAAGAAAGACAATATCAGTATCAGAATGCACTTCAACCCGTGCACAAGGTAGTTGCTTTTACCCACAGCTATGAGGAAGGAACATTATTAAGTAGCTTGTGATAATTTATAGATCACTGATAAATGATAAATAACACAAGTATTGTGAGACAGATGAGAAAGAAGTCAGTTAAATATAATGGACAATTAATTTATATGACAACATGCTAATCAAAAAAACCCACCAGTCATTATAAAGGGAACAGGAAGAAGATTATTATCCTAGTAACCATTTCCAGACATAATTCTTCCCCCCTCCAAATAGACAGATTGGAGAAATAAACCAGTCCAATGACAGAAAATAGATATTATGAAATAATAGTATAAGTTGGCATCATTTTCAGAGTCATTTTAAATAGCAACCCTATGTCAGGAAAAAAGAAAACCAAGGACATGGTGTTACTGGAAGAAGAAGAAAGAAAGGAAGCAGAACCAGGTAGGATTACTAGGGGACATTACACTTTAACTATTTTTAAACTGCAAAGACCTTAAGAAGAAGTTTAAAAAGGGAAAAAGAAAAAACAGGATGGACAGTTTTGGTCTTACCTGTTAAAGTATTTTTAAAGCATTCCTTCCTTGGGAAGATGCTTCTCCACACATCAAGTTTCCTAGATGACAGATCAGATAGCTTAATTACTATGTTCAGAAAGGTTTGGAGTAATTGTGTTTTAAATAGTTGAGATAGCCTGAATTGATTTCATAGCATGAAAAAAGCACATGGAAAATGGGCAAAATACGTTTGCTCTAAGCCAGGTTCCCCTTTTTTAAGTGGTGTTCAGCTCACTGGGTAAGCATAAGGCAATGGACACGATACATCTAGTCTGGCTTTTGGCACCATCCCACAAGGCACTTCCATAGAATGAACATTTTAAATACAATCAGTGGAAGGTGTGCAGGCATCTGATAGAAGGAGACCACAGTGGTCATTAGTGGTTAGTCATCAAAATGCAAATGCACCTCACAAAGACACCTTTCAGGGTCTGTCCTAAGCTCTGTTTGTTTAGTATGTTCACTGACAACTGAAATTATGCAATATTTATGCTTATAAAGCCTGTGATAAAGAACCTGATAACCTCAAAACAATGGCAGGAGATGCAAGCGCCAGGAAGGATGAGATCAGACACCCCAAATGCTATTGACAAATCGGACATATCCAAAAAAACAATTTAAAAAGCAGCAATGAGAAATATAAATGATTATTGTTAGGAAGGACATCAATAAACATTGTGAATTCCTGACTATACAGAAATACAGCAAGAACAGCTCTTAGGCTTGTACGGATAACAAACAACATAAATCAACAGTGCAGTACAACTGCCAAGAAATGTGTTTAATTCTGGAATGCACCAGCAGGTGTGTCATGTGCAAGACAATTTGTTTGATTCCTTAACTTTGCATAGTACTCAAGTCCCAAGTGGCTGGGTCTGTCCCTGGTTGAACACCTTAGGAATATAAACACAGCTGAAGAGAAACAAGAAAAGAGCAAGAACAAGGAGTGGAAAAAGAAACCCCTCTGAGAAAAAGCTGAAGGAATTAGATTTGCCTTAGTCAAGAAAATAAAAGCTTCAAGTGAGATGCAGCTTTCTGATACACACGAGCTCATTAGAGAGATGTTGATCAGTTATCCTCGATGGCTCCAGTAGAAAGACATGAAAGAGTAAACATGATTTGTGACAAGAAAGGCTTAAAAGATTTTGCTGATCAGCATTCCAACTAAGGGGTTTTCAACACTGGAGCTGGCTGGAAACTTCCACTGGAAATTTTTAGGAGCAAAGTTTGGTAAGCTTGCTGGTATTAGCCTTAATATATTTAGTCTTGATGCAGTGCAGGCTGTACTTGGTGATCTTTTGGGACTGCTCCCAAACCCAAGTTCCACAATGGATATAATCTGGAAAATTCTAATTGGAAAGGTCATTACAAACCCTAGGCTCTGGTTGATCAGATTCTCTAACTGAACAGAAGAGCCAGGAAAATAGCAAGCTGCTCCCAACAGAGCTCTAAGTTCAAGATAAAATCACAGTTTCCATGTTATCAGACTACAGTTTTTTTCCAATGGCCCCTTTAATTTCTGTCATTACTCCCCCATTATCCACATCAGTTCCACATCAGTATTACCACTGAACCAAAGAGGTGGTAGCCTAGAATACCAAGTGAAGTGTCAAGATTTTACCCCTACGTAGGAAGATGCAGTTATCAGTTGAGCCTCCGAATTCACTGTTGGACATGTAAAGACCCTGTCACCACTGTCCTTGACAGTGTTTCTCAAATTCCTGCTCACTTATTCTTAAGAAAAAAGTAATCCATGTGCCATGCATGTGCCATGTGCCATGCATGTGCCATGTGCCAATGCCAACACTGCAATCCATGTTGCAGTGCTACCACAATACCAGCATTTACATCAAAATCAGGTTTAGGTTAATAAGTTACAGCTTATGTGTTACTTCATTTTCTCCACCC